AATAGAACGGCAACGGTCAAAACTCGCTATAATTGTGTGCTATTGTAGAAATTTATGGTTTATACGTGTTATAATGTTTTCGCTATTTAGGTGAAGTCCGGATTCAATTCAGACTAAAGTTTGATAAAAATTTGTCTAACTTGTAAATAATGTATCGGTAAGTTATTAGAATCTGTCAAAACGTATAACACTGTCAACAGCCAAATTCTGTTCATATAAGGAATTGTTTTCGCAAGGCACTTCAAGCAGATATGAAGATAATAAAAGGTTGATGCCTCAGTCACTTTATTGCATATTGTTAAATCTTTAATTGCTCTGCAGGATCTACCCAAACTCAGTTCGCAATCCCTTTGTCCGCAACAAGTAAACCTCTTCAGCTTGATCTGACTCAATATTATATTAAGATCTCGAGAACTCAATATATTAATCAGTCAGTACTAAGTCGACAAGGATACAAAGCTGATTTGCACGAATTGTTTCCTTTATTTCGCTCAAATATTCAAGCTCTCCAAAAGTCGACCATCTAATTAATTATCGTCGCTTTCAATGTTAAATTATGCCAGCTTGAGAAGCATAATAGTTACTGTCGGTAAACTGGCCACGAAAACGAGTTGCGCTCAAAATCTTAGAGCTCTCATATAAATATTGGACTGCTAAAGCATCTAAAACAAATTGGACTCAGCAAAATACAAAATTACAACAAAAATAAATCACACACATATCCTTCAATTCCTCTGAGGTGGGACTTCTGACGGGTGTCTGTGCTCGTCAGGAATCCTCTGGGATTTCCCGTTCCTAGGAGGGTTGTACCTGAGCGCCCCACCGCTGAGCTCGCGGTGTCTGACTGCAGGTCTCAGTTGTGGGATCAAATAGCCAGGATTCCTTGCATTTCTCTTCTCTGTCTCTCTCGTGCGGGCGGCCGACGTACCGTGCAAGCGATCTCTTGTTCGAGTCTTAGTTTCTTTTGCTTTTCACCTGCCTCTCTTTGTCACTTCGTCTTCTTGAGATGCTATTATATTTCCTATTGTAGGTGAGGAATGATTTTTTAATTTAAGAAACTTTAAATAATTGAGACCTTTCTCCCTGTTGGTGATGTTCACCTTGACTTTCGGTGCGAGAAAGCTACCAGTTAGCTGAAGCGCTAGTAAACCTGTGGCAACTAAACCAACTAACTAACCATATCTTTCAATTGTTGCTGCTTCTGTTGTTCTTTCACGAGTTAAGCCAGAAATGATTCATATGTTTGAATATGCGTAAACTTTTCTTCAGTCACCCATGAATTATTCCCGAGAAATTTCAAAATTTTCCCAGAGGTGCTGATGTAGACGCAGCTTACCTCGACAGGCCGCGTATCGGGGCAGATCTTGCCCCAGCCAATATCGAAAAATTCCTGCTAGTTACTGCAATGTCTCAATTCCAAGATAACTTGAACTTTTTTTTAAACTCACAGCTTGATTGTGTTTTCTGTCAACAATAAATCATCTAGCGAGAATTGTGCAACTCCAAAAGAGGCAGGAAAGCTAGCATTAGAGCTTTCAAAAAGACTAGAGGTGAGGCACTGAAAGTGTTCCGAGCCAGCTCTCCAGCAGGTAGGATGTTTTATTTTTTGGGTCCCGAAGGACCCCTCCCCCCTAACTCCCTTCCCCCAAGAGCAAATCAGTAGCCAGGTGAAGGCAGCGCCCCAACTCCTCAAGAATTGGGTGCTACCATTCACCCACCAGCCACCGTTGCTCTCGCCGCGTAGCCTGCAACAGCCACAGAAGAGATTCCGCAAGAATGCGGTGAATCTCTTCCCCCTCTTGGGGGGCGGCGCCTTGCATCGGCTCAGCCTTGGCCTCACTATAGATCTAGTGAGTTCCTGTTACGCACGCCAGTAGCTGGGATAGATAGTGGCGTAGACAGGATGGGCGTATTGCCAGTCCGACATATCTTCGCCAGACATAGAAGAGTATTCTATGACTGGTATAGCATAGCCTGCCTCGAGAACAGCCATTTTTGTTAAAGATAACAAGTTCAATCGAAATTTGTAAGAAAATCGATGACGAAGACGAATTTTGCGACCAGACTTTATATAGTCCGGTATTGTGGATACGAAATTGAACAAACCCCTATACTGTATATGACGTCTCGAGACAGCAGACAACTTTATTGTCAATCTGAGGTCCATCGGGCAAAGAACAATCGTCGTTTCGTGCCTAAAATAGTACAATCCAGTTGATTTTCAACTTAAAGTCGTTGGAATGAAAGGAAAAGAATTTCAGAATCGTTACTCATGAATGATTACTAATTGGTGAATAAATTGGTGTCAAATTTATACTTTGGCCCGAGTTGGAGGAGGTATTACAATACCATTTGCCAGCGTATTTAATATACAATAGCTGTCCCGTGTGTAATAATGTTTGTGACGCCCTCATGCGCCCACATAACGCAAAGACACTTTCAATTTAATTTAAGAAAAATCACGCAAACAAAATTCTTAAACATCTTTTAATCACCATAAAAACACACTACATGGCCTCAACCATTACCATGGTTGAATTAATACATTGTTGTATTAATTCAACCATGGCCTTAACGTCAATTTGTACAGTATTTTTCTTATTTGCTTTAATGTATTATGTAACATGCTTAGGGACGTGAGTGTTGAAGTAGTCCGTGGCCGGACGACTGAACAGTTTCACTGTCCCGATTACTGGATATCTTGGGTCATGAGACGATATTATTTCAGTAAAATGATGAAATTCGTGTACTGCTTTTTTCGTGTAGTTCGCACATGTTTGAAAATATTGTCGTGTATAATATTCCGACTTATAAGTAAATGGACTCCAAGGAAATCTCTTCCACCAATTTCAAATTTACTTCTTTTGGAATCAGCCACTTCACTGGCTGCAAAAATCAGAGATCGCAAGGTGAGGTTAAGTCAGAAAATATCTTATTAAAAGTTGAATAATGTATGGCAGCGGTGTACTTGATTTCTGCTTTTATGCCCATCGTCAGAAGACATTGAGGTGTACCTATATTTTCTGTCTTGGCTTTTAGCCTTTACTGGCAACTTCCCCAGAAGAGTCCAGCGCTTCATTATGAAAGCAACTGCTACGTTTATTGCAAAAACTGGTCGTCTAGCTACCTTATAGCAAGTGAATTGTATCATATTAAATAAGAATCTGCCAATTGCCACTTCTCATTGTGAAAACTGTCAACAATCTGAAGATGGACACCTGTGAGAGTGAAATGAGGCCATGCAGATATGTTAAAAACTTGAAATAACTAATCGTTGACGAGTCCAGGTGAAACAAGTGGTCAACGTGTCTGCTTCCTCAGGCTCACCTTCAACCCGTAACGGGAAGCCTGCCGAAGACCACCACTGCCCTGGATGTAATGGACTATCATGACTCCTGCCCTCCGGAACGTAGCCTTCAACACTTCTGGAAAATCATATAGGCAGCCGAAAGCCACCAGACAGAACGAATCAATTGAATTAGACCAATCAGCCCTCAGGAGAAAAAGGCTATTCGACCTCGTGCCTGGGGGGTGTGGAGCTCAAAATATTCAAAGCAGAAGGATGTCAATGATCGGTTACGGATAGCAGATTCCATTCACGGCTGATTGGTGGATGTCCGGAAAGATCCAAGGCGTTCGATTCAGGGCTTATTGGTGTACAAAATTTGTGGTGCACGGCTGCGCTCCCGTTGGGGTGGTGGTGATTTGTGATTATTGGAGCTTCGAAGACTTGTCCATGTAGCTCCATAACTGTACGGGAATATGTTGCAGACGCAGCCACAGCCACTGTGGACACATGAAGAGGATTGACAGCACAGAATTTTAGAAGTTAATGCATCTAAGCCAATATGCGAAGAAGTTACGGAAAATTATGCAGAAATCGGAGAACAGCATCGCAGTACAGATAGCGTTAAACACTGGAACTTCTGAAAAAAATGAAAAAAAACTTCTTCTGGAATAAAAAAAGGAGTTTGTAATTTTTTAGAAGAACCATGAATTAACAGGAAAAAAACGGCTAGCTAACTATGTTTATTTTAAAGAAGCTACAACCTATAATGGGAACTTGAAAATGTATGAATATGTTTAATGATTTTTAGCTTCAAGAATTTCATAACAATGTTCTGGCAACATCTACCCAAGGATTGGAAGGGACTGTCAATTTGTCAAACGTTTTGGTCTAATCTAATTGGCCATTAGGCAATGGTCATTCGTTGACCCTCACACTTGGAGGAGGCGAACGCTTCTGCTCTAGGTAAGCGTTTAGGAGGCCTCTTCTGTACTACGTAGAATAACTTCGAGAAAGATGTCTAGAATTATGTTGTAATTGTCTATTATTATTAGTGTCGAATTATATATTGTATGTACTAATATACATTTGTTCTCCCCGTATAAGGAACGTAGTTTTTTTCTTTTAAGAACTGCAGAAAGTTTTTGGCAATGGTGTTTTGCTATAAATTTGTTTTCAGTTAAACTAAAGTGCTTTCAGTTGATTTTAATTGGAAGGACTCATCATTTTCTAATATATATATCATATATGTATATATAATGTCTTCCATATCATCTATGAAATTTCGAGACGGCAAAGATTACAGCCACTGCCACCAATCTGAATGAACAATGCCAAAGTTCGCATTTAATTAGCCATTTCTTTCCGTAGGATAGCAAACAACCACAACCGCACGACTCCGCACGAGTGTCAGTTTTGTGAATCGTATCGGCTTAATCGGCATTGTAGAATGTGGGGAGCTATATTACGATTAGCTACAAGCCTGTATGTAGTTTTAGACATAATTTGGTAATTTCTTCTGCTAATTATTATTTGTCATGTGATAATAATCGCAAAATATTTTAATCAACAAAAATTTGAACAAACTTGTTCTTTTATCAAGGGACTGAATCCCAATCTGAAACTTGTTTCACAAAACGAGCAATTGTTTACAGATTTGGGCTGGGGGCCTGGGGGCGCAGCCAGAGTCTCGATTTAACCGTGGAAGTGAGAAGACGTTCTGTGTCTGACAGCGTTCTACCGGCAAGCTCAGGAGGACGGTCGACGGCACGTGAGCAATCTGTCGAAACTCGAAAGTAAGCAGTCTCAATAATTTCGGTACTTGTTTTTGAATTTAGTCCGTTGCTGAGTCGGGAATTTAAGTAGGCTGTTAGTAGTCTTAGAAGAGTAGGATTGACTGTTTTTTTTTTTACAACATTTCTCTTTAACTTCACTTCTTGTTTGTCTGTCTCACGTCTGTCTGCTACAAATCTTGTAATCGAAATTTAATACACTTCTACTTATCCTATCGATCTGAAATTTTGCACACTTGTGTAAACTGTAAAGTCGGAGACAATGCATGAATCAAATGTCAAAATAAAAGATTTTAAAAATTAATTTTTTTCTCAATTTTAAAAAAATTGAAAAAATAATTTTGTCAGCTACTAAAAACCTTATAACTGATATCTGACACACTTTTACCTGTCTGATTGATCCGAGATTTTGCACACTTGTGTAAAGTCAGAGCCACACAGAGGCAATGCATGAATCAATTAATAGAATAAATAATTTTGAACAAAATTATATATTAAAAATATTATATATTAAAAAAAATTGAAAAACTAATTTTTTAATTTGAAAATTAAATGAGAAATTCATTGTACATTTGTAAGATTGGAGACACTGGATTCTTTGGAAGTGTTGTCTTTAAAAAGTAATTTTTAAACGCATATTATTTATATGTAATAAGCTTGCACTGGTCACAACTCACAAAGAGGAGAGGAAGAAAAGAGGGTGCAATAGGAAAAGGAGGCAGAAATGGAGAGCTCCACTGCGGGGAACGGAGCTGTGACAGGCAAATCCAAGCATCAGAATCATAGGGTAAACGCGGTATATTCCGACACATTAAGGACGCATCGAGAAATGAAAAACTATAAAAAAAACTGTATGCGTTACGTAAGTTCTGTCGCCTAGCCTTCACGTGACTCTCAAAACACTTCACTACGCCCATGGTCAGGAAGATGTGCCAGGTGCGTGGGAATTTATTTTGTCATTTTAACGACCTGCGCGGTGCGCCGTACTATGCTGGTAAAAAAATGCGCCACGCGCCGTACTTCAGAAAGCTAAAATAGTTCTACTATTTTAGTCAACAATATACGCTAGTATATTGACTATGCGAGTCGAACTGACAATAATAAAATGTAAGACATGTCCGGGTTACTTCTGACTCTTCCGCCTGTCCGCCTTGTCGGATACGGAACGTACGGTAATCGTAAACTGCAGCTATTATACATACGAAATGTAAACAGACGGTGTTCAGTGTTGCCATATGACTTTGGAGAAAATTTCTTCTAAAATAAAGTTCTAGATTTCTCATTCACCAAATTTCTGTATCAAGAAAAATCATATATCACTGAAAGATAATTAAAGGCATACTGTACTGAGTAATGTGAGTATTACGTCTGTTCCTCCACTAACTGCTCCTGCGTGGCAGCGCGACATAGAATTGATGGCCGGGATTGCGCGAACACGTGCGCGAAGAGAATCAATTTTCATTATATTGTGCCAACTGTGCACAGCAATAGCTTAAAAAAATGAAAATGCACGGAAAAATTCACCGAAAACATACATCATCCTGAGTGTGGCACTATGCATCAGCAACGATGAAACGTCACAAAATGTTGCCATATTTATTAAAAAGCCTTTAGAATGGAAACCTACCAAATCCCTATATTCCAACACTGTGTGTGGCAATATTCGACACGTGGTGAGTGGTATTGCATCAGCGCTTCAAATTTAACTGATACGTAATGCCGATATCCACGTGTTTGAATTCCGTTTGCTGTGTGAGCTGTATTGGGATACAACACGGCTTTGAATTAGAACACTAACGAATATTGAACACTACAGACGTCACCATTTCAACCATCAACAAACGCATGGAACTAAAACAAAGCTTAATATAAAGGAAAAGCTGGAGAGGTGATGGAATTACCTACGATGTTGGAATATACCACGTTTACCCTAAAAGAAATCTAAATGGTCTTTCTGCCGGTGCCAGGTTGTGAGACTCCGGATCTGCTTTTTAGCTTAGACTCCGGATCTGCTTTTTAGCTTCACTGCTTGTGACAGTTAACAACGAACATGGCGTGCTTGATGATAACTGCCAGAAGATATTCAAATGCGTTTGTTTCTAGTTTGTGTTCTATTACGTATTTCTTGTTGCTTCCTTAATATTTATAGACAGTTGAGGAGTGGTGTTTCAGTCCAATTAATTTTACTGGGTCACATAGTGGCAAAGCAGAGAGTTTTTTAGACTCCCCCTCAAGTTCAATTTTGAGAACTATAAGTAGACCAGTAAAGTATCTGAGATACCAGCATTATCGTACATAAGAAATTTGTTTTAAATATTAAGTAAATGAGAAAATTAAAGCTGAATGGATTCTAAAAATTTGATGGTTTGCCACTATGCTGGGTCATGACACAAGACTTGTTTGTCTAAGCTGACTCTTCAACTGCCTTGTTATTTTATTAACCAGTCATTCCAGTGCCTCCCGGTCACCGCCGTCCGCTCACCATCAACTTTGGCAACCTCGGCGTCCGGTTACTGATGAATATTGGTGTCCACCATCTATATAGGTTCATCTTGGTGTCTTTTGGTTTGAAAAACGGTGTCCTCGACCTATGTTGTGCCATTCTTTACTGTCTGGTTTCATGGTACGGTGGCCACTGTGCACTGTGCAGAGTGGATGAATATTGCAAGATCTTTGGTGACGCTTCAGTAGCAAAATCTACGCCTTCAGAAGATCTTGCCAACACATTTAGATAGAAATTCTTGCATTTAATATATTTGTCAGTCTTTGGCCAACTATCTAAAAAAGTAAGGTTTCCGATATGTTGGATGGATCAGGATACAGTGAAGCTTGTCCGGAAATCAGTTGCGATGAGTTCCCGTCAAAAATGTAAATATCAAGTTTACGATTACATAGTTGCGGTCACATTAGAGCGGTCAGACTTCATCATCACATGTTCAGTTGACACTTGCTGTACAATCGGACTGTTTTTAGGGTAAAATTAGTTATTTGGGGTAACACTTGCATGCAACCTTGTAAATAAGTTTGTGGCTTGTAAATAGTTTTTCATTACTCAGTGTAAATGGCTTTTCATTAAAAATTACCCGGCGACGCATCTTAAAATTACTCAGCGACGCTTAGGGCTTAAAAACGGGACCCCTGATGATGAATGGCCCCCCCTCCAGACTTGTCATTCTCAGGTGGCCCATCAGGTGAGGAAATGTCTGAGTCAGATACTGAACATTTTTTTGCTGCTACTCATGCACAAAAGAGGAAGGCAACATCCAGTCCTGAAATGGAGAGCCAAGCAACCAGCCCGAAGAAAAGCAATACCGGTAACAACTTTAGAGGTTTCAATGACAAAGCTAGGAGTCAACCTACTGGCAATTCCCCATCTAGCTGGCAATCCACATCAAGGGCCTTAGACACACCAAACAACCTCTGTTTTTCCACTGTGGCCATGCCCGGCCCCCAGGTTGCAACCATGAAGCCCAAGTCTGCAAAAACAATACTAATTGAACCAATTGGGACCACTGACAAAGTAAAAGGCTTCTTTGCCAATGACATCAAGTTGGCAAGGAAGATAGATGCTTTTTTGTTTGGCAAATATCAAATTGCATCGATTAACAAAAATCTAGCAAGGGGGCTCCTGATACTGAACTTCCCTCAACTACACAAAGAACAGCTAACCAAGCTGCTGGCAGTGAATTCAATTGGAAGTAGGGAAGTGAGGTGCAGGTTACTACAAATGCAATCCTTGACCCATGGAGTCATTGGTCCTGTGGGTGTGGAGACTGATGTAGAGGAAATTCTGTTGGAGCTGAAAAAACGGCATGCATCTTTGCAATGATGCAATCAGCATCACAGCAGCAAAAGCCTTACAATGTGGCCCAAGCCCTTGATTGGTAGAACCAGGAACTTATCTCCTCCAAAAAACCTGATATCCACTACTGAACCGTCCAAACAATCTGTTGAACCAAAAACCAAATCAAGAAACCTGGAAATGGCCCTCCCTAAGAAGGATCTGGCTAAGACCTCTTTATTAGAGAAAGTCAGCCAATGAATACTACAGCAATCCCTTGATTAACGCGGTTAATAAATCCCCAAGTTTCACCGTGTTTAGCAAAACCGCGCTAATCAAACTTAAGAATATATGGGAATAATTATAATGAATCCTCAAAAATAGCAAAGTTACATAATAATTTTTTTTCCACTAAAATTCATCATATTTTTTCTAAATAATAGGGGAAATAAATAAAAGGAATGCGAATGAATTAACGTATTGTTTCCTGTGCGTATTGTTGACTCGGGAAACCCTAGGTCTTCACCGATCTTCGTTTTCGTTTCACCATTATCAAAACGCTTAATTATTTCAAGCTTAGTCTCCAAAGTGATATTTTTACATTTTAGCGTTCCCTTTTTGTCCATAATTATGACGGTAATTTATCAAGGAAAATTATGTAGTTTGATAAAAATGAGCAGTAGATATGGCAGCGATCTTGACCAGTTGAAGGCTAACAAGTAACTAGAGCACCGGCATGGCGCACTTACCGGTGGTCGTTGCCGAACTCGACCATTCGAGTTATGAACGAGACAAGGCGCGGTTAAACCCACTCTGTAGTCAGCACGAGTGCCTACGGAACGGGACCTTATTTAAAGAATTATTGGCTGAAATTCATAAAGTAACAATATTTGGTGAATTTTTCCAAAAGTCGTAACAAAGGAAACAACATAAGATCTAATAAGCAAAAAGTAACACTTTTGTTATGAACGTAACACCTCTGGCTAGAGGCGGGAAAATGATGCGTTGAGAAAAAAAGTCACGCTAATCAAAACTGTCACTGCATAGATTAAGAGTAGGTTGCAAATTTTTTTCCGCGTTAATCAAAACCGCTGTATTCAAAACCGTGCTAATCAAGGGATTTGCTGTCCTGCTATAACAAAGCAGACCAGCCCTCCAATTAGCCCCAGGTCCAAAAATAAAAAAGGTAAAGGCATCCTGGCCTCATGCCCCTGAGAATGGA